CTGTTGTACTGACACACCGTCCAATCGATAGGAAAAGAGCCAATCGGCATATGGCTCTCGTAGACTATTGCAGAGACTATCATAGATATCCTCGTGCGAAACGCAGACGCCATTCAATCTCAATCTATTCACGATGTTGTCGAGCACTTGCAAGTGATGAACTAGGGTTACAGAAGGCCCTTGCGTGAGAGTGTTGAACTGTTGTCGAAGCGACACGACATCTGTGGGATCGAAATAACGTTGACGAAGCTCGGCTTTAAGAGATGCATATAGTTCCGAAGGCTTTCCCTGAGCCAAGTCACAGGGTGGCAGGGCATCACGCACGGTGCTGTCGATGGAGTACAACAACACAAAATAAGCCGTCGGTGATGACAGACTGATGGCAACTTGATTCAGTAAGCGTTCAATCGAAACCATATGCTCAGCCAGAGAGGGCCCATCACTGGTCACCTTCCATACCGGATGCCCGCTAACCTTCATCTCCGTGCGAGCTTCCTTGCGAGCGTCGAAGAAGTTAGTAGTGGTAGCAGCACCACAGGCACCCTCAGTAGGTGTAGTCTCCCCATCGATTTCTGCCAAAGTCTTGAAAGGCGAATTCTTCTTCCTTGGAGCCATAACTTGTTCTCGGATGATTGTTGCAGATCAGGGATGAGAGACAACGTACTCGCAGAACGCAAGATACGATCGGCTGCTGACGAGGGTGTATACTACGCAGATGGTAGAACCAACTGTATATAGCTATGTCAGCTACTTATGAAAGAACGAGAGGAAGTAAGATAGCAAGATTGAGTGTCCGATCAGCAACAGAAAAAGCAACGCGTCACGGATTATGTGCGCGCGTGCGAACTATGGAGCATCCTCAATCTCACACCTCTCAGAAGACATAATCGCACAAGTGTGTGTGCATGGCATGCGTGAATTCATTTTGTACTTTGTAGTACTTGCGGTTTGGCTAGCAGGGTGATCGCAGCATCACGGGAGGTGTCGATCATCAGGTATGTGGTGAATAAACGTCTTCTCTTCCCGCCCTTTCCTTGATGTTGAGAGACTTGGAGCGGTTACATTTGGGGGTTCAATGCTGTTGGGCTCCTATCCTTTTGTTGTATCCATGCACGAGTCCTGCATACGTGTCACGTATTACGTGAATCTGGCCTCGCGCTGCGAGGCTCGCAGTGAATCCTCATTTAGCGGGCTTCAGTGTCACGTAAGCCTCTCCCAACCTCAGCGTCTATGGGTTTCCGACCATCGCATACATAGTGACAGACGCACCAGCTCGGCCTGGTAACGCCGAGGGGTCCTCACAGTGATTTTCATCTCGGCTGAGATTCCCATCATGAAGGCATCACTGGCTTCCTAATCATCGGTCCGGTCGTTGCTCCACTGCTACACTCCACGTTAGCCGTGTTGATCCAAATTTGTCACTATCCCAATTTATCACAACCAAGATGGAATGAGTCTTAGTTGTGGTATATTTTGGCAGTGAGTCACTGCCAGTGACATAATTGGACTCTCACTGCCAATTTTGATTGTGACGTATTTGAATTGTAACCTACGTGGATACGCAATTTTGCATTGTGCAAGTCGAACGTGCTCTCATCCGTCGAGAGAAGGGACGTCTTCTTGGATTCCTGAGATTCCTCTGTTGGTCCTAGCACGGCATATCCATCCTTCTAGAGAAAACCGGATAGAGCTGCCTATAACTCAACCAGGACACAATCCGCAGAAATTTGTGCCGATCAGGATACTCACTAGTTATGCGAGCGAATTAGCGAGCATGGAGTCGATGTTTATGTTGTACTCTAAGGTTCATTTGTTCAGATTCATTGATGTTTTAATAGTCAATGAGATACCTCTGTGCAGTACTCTCTGTGGCAGCATGTTTACTAGGTCCACTCATGTTTGGTCTAACTTTGGGTTTCACTGGTCAGACTATTGATACCATGAAGAATCATGTTACCACTGCCGATGGTGTCCTTATCCAGGTTGGTCCCGATGACCATTTGTATGTGTTTGATACATCTACAGATGGTTCGTTGTTTGGGTCTCTGGTTAACTTGGGCGCTATGGGTGGTGCTATCCTATTGGGGGGTCCCTTCAGTGAGAAGTTCGGCAGGAAACGGACTTTGTTGTTGTGCTCTCCTTGCTTCGTTTTGATCTACGCGTGGCAGGCATTGGCCCACACTTCATGGCAGTTGCTGTTCGCTCGTGTTCTGGTCGGTTTCGTTGTTGGTGTTGAGTCCGTCGTGGCTCCAACCTACATCGGTGAGGTTTCTCCCACGGCTATTCGTGGGACTTTGGGAGCGTGCAACCAGCTTTCCATCACAATCGGTGTCCTTCTCGCCTATGCTCTTGGGATGGCTTTCAGAACTGATGCCGGCTCTATTGATCCCAATGCTACCGACGGCACCTTCTGTCAGTGGCGTACTGTGAGTTGGATTTATTTGATTCCCA